GTTTATTTTCTGTTTTGAAGGCTCTAATGTTTTCTCTCAGCTGCTCATTCCAGTAATCCGGAAGCTACGTGGATTTTTTAAAAAGTAAACCAACAAAACATCAAAACCGAAACCACAAAACCTACCAGTCTGGAGGAGAATTGTAATTTATAATTAGTGAGAAATTGGAAAAGACTAGTAAGAATAACAAACGCGAATAGACTTAGAGCACTGCAGTCCCCTGTAGCAAAATGCAAAGGGTTATGCAACTGCCCTTTAGGATTCGTACAAAAGGCATCTTGGAGATGGTGCAATCCTTTTTCAGGCTATGAAAGTTGATTATATTAATTTCTTTTAAAAGAACATTTTAAATTCTTTTATTCTTTTTCCACCATAAGGCCTATAATTTGTGCTTACAGTAATTCAGACAGATGATATGCATTCTTTGTTGATATCATTGCTAAAGACATGGTGGTATCTCTACCATTATAATATAATACTGAACTCTGCTTCATTTTGAGTAAATTACCCAGATTGTGATACAGGACTCAATACATTCACCTCATACTGAGAAAGAATGAAAAATAACAGAATATCAAAACCCATGTGAGAGAAGGTTCAATTTATTGGAAGAGATTAAATGGAATTTTATGATTCAGAAGGATAAAACATTATATTACATATTGCATAAATTGATACTCAGTTTGTGAAATATATTTTTAAATCACAAATTGAGTACCTCAAATCAACAATCAATCATTGGCAACAATAAATTTTTCATCTAAAACATTAGCGTCTCTATTTTGACATGCTGGTGTCTTTTGGTTTTGATTTGTACCTTATGAAGAGGAGCCGAACCTGACATAATAAATGAGTACAGAAATTGCATGAAGATATAGTAAAATCAATTATTTCCTTCTTTCCTTTCTCTGTTGTTTTTCATATTTCTAAATTAGACCAATGAATATTATCACATAAAATATTCCAAAACAATCACCCCCAATTCTGCCTAATGTAACTCAATGGAATTTTATTAGATGGATGCTTCAGAGAAAGTGTTCTAAAACCTGCTCCAGGCTTTTGAAAAGCAATTGAGCCAAAACAGAAATCAGGCAAGCCTGAGTTTCTCTGCACTGAAAAATAAGCCCAAAGTTCCCATCAGAGAATTTCAAAACTTACTGCTGAGAGAGCATCCTTCTCTGAGGAGCTCTTGAATCATAATTAACATGCAGAAAGATAATTACAATGTTTTAGAAACGTTTCTTTCAGAGAGCATTTTAACATCACCAGGCAGCCTCAGAAACACACATAAGCATAACCTCCATGGTAATTCGAACACTCAATTTGTTCCACTGGTTAACCACAACAGAGAGAAATGAATCCACCGGATCCTTCTCAGATCCTTCTCAGATCCTTCTCTAGCTTTCCTCGTAAATTATATACATTTTTAGGAAGACATAACAAGTTTAACAAAAAAATCTATAGTGCACAGAACTAAGCAATGGAAAATAGGTTACGAACAAGGTCAAGTTTTTAATTTATTAGATTTTTAACACACCCACGTAAGATAATATTAATTCTGAAATCCAGAACACTGCACAACACTATCTTTTACACAGAATAATAAAGTTGTCTCTCCTACTAAGACCACAGAAAATGAGTGGGAAAGTCTAAGGGTTAAAAATATAATAATTAGAAAACAGCAAGGCTAGTTCAAAAATCATACTTTCAATACTTCTTTGTATTTATTTACATGTATTACAGTAGATAGTTTTGAAAGCCATAGTTAGTAACCAAGGATCCATTTTGTCACTATGTGATGCATAGTGTAATGCAGGTCAGTCCCAGGAATGAGCTATTACTCTTAGTGCTAGCAGGGCAGAAAGCAAAGAAGGCTTGCTAATTGATTTATTGACTCTACAGGAAAAATCTAGCTTATTACTGGTAAGGCAGCAGAAATCAGACACTGGTACATTTTCCTAATTGTCTCTGCTTGGAAAACCAACTGAAGTAGTTGCACTTGGATTCCCAAGGCAGTTTTATTGATGTATAGGCTGAAGCATATAAACTGATGCTGCAGGTGGACGTTCCCTGAAGACAGCCACAGCTGGCTGTCAGTCAGGAGTACCAGGAAACAGGCAGACATAACTGGGCATAGTATGGAAGAACAAGGGTACAAAATAATGCTAGATTAGTTTCAAGCACCTGCAATTAACTCAGTGGTTACCCTAAGAATGGCATATTTAAGGTCACTGTAATAAGCTGGAAAAGAACTCAGAGAGGGATCAGCAAATTAGTTTGAGGAAATGCTCTCCCTCCTTCTCACTGACCAAAATGGTGTAGGTATGGCACAGGAGGGCTAAGGGCAGGTGGGGTAAAGCATGGTGTCTTACGGGGGCAGTGGAAACTATAGCACTGCTACACTTAGTTTTCACTGTTCGTATACTCTTTCCCACAAATAAAACAGTAACTGATTCAGTGCTGGAAGTGTAGGATTTTGCCTTACGCCTGCCACAGTGATGAAATACTCCACTGTACGTGTAAAAACAAAAAGTAAAAAAAAATTAATGGGTAGAGCTACATAATTTTATGATTACATGAAAACCATTTGTAAATATTGCAGTTGGCTTAATTTTAAATTTGTACACATACAGAAACATATTGGCCAGCTACAGTTCTTACTTAGTAACGTATTAAGGTGGACTTTAAAAATAATTTCATATTGAAATCATATCTAAATATTTTAAATTTTGTCCTCTTATTAGCCTAAAATAGCTTCTTACTGAAATTCCAACCAGAAACTTACATGCACTCTCAACAGACAGCAAAAGTGAGTGATAAAATTGGAGTGATTTGCCCCATGGTCCCTCTAGGAAATATTTAATTTGAAAGTCTATAGATTGAATAGGCATATGCTAACTAGTCTCTAGTAAAAAACAAACAAACCAAAGCCATTCCTTCTCATTATGTCTAGATAAGACATATTGAATGTTCAACAACTCTGTTCAATTTGTAATACTGTGTAAGTCAGAGTTAATGTGCCTAGTAAGTAAAATTGCCCAAGCATATACTGCAAAACTTAGGTGCCCTCTCGGAATAAATAACTTAAGAGGATTATGAATCTGTATCTGAAGAATCTTTACTAGATTTCTATTCACAAATAGGGTGGTACAAAACCCGGTGATATCAGGGAGCACCTACTCTGCTCTAGGGCAGGAGCTCCATATACAACCAATGGTGGCACACACAATAATCAGTAACTATTAAAAACTAACTCTCTATTTGACCTGTTTTAGCTTATTCATACTGGCAAGTGAAGGCAGTAAAAGACAATGTTTCAATTACTGTAATTCCTATTTTTAAATAAAAACTCACTACTATTTTATTTTATTGAAATTTCTATTGGGTGCAAGATCCAGCACTGCACAAAACTCAAAGCTTGCCTTTGGTATGCAATTTACATCACCTAGAACCTTCCAATCTTGTTTTCAGTGCAGTATTTGTTACTATTACTTTGGTACTATTACTTTGTGCCATGCAGTGCTAACCTGAAAATTGTTTGCTTTTCTATGCATACACATGTATATAACCTCGTGTTTTACAGAAAGAAGCATTTTGAATCAGACATCAAACTGGAAACTGTATTTCCAATCGAATCTCTTTAAGCACTTGAAAATATTCACTGGCAGGCAGCTTCACACAGAAAAAATTATCCAAAAGAATGAATGACGCTATACATCAGACAAAGATTAAGTGCGTGCCTGAACACCTTGTTTTTTAACTTACTACCTTAAAAGGTGAAAGTACTCCTTTATAATAAGCATCTATACTCATTTCTACAGAATTTACTTAAAAATAAATGCTAATCACTGCCATGTTTCTCGCGTCAGTGAATATATTTATGCTTTGTCACTGTGTATCCCATGCAACTGACTTAGAAAAAGCAGAAAAAGTAATATCAAAGCAACATAGATATACAAGAATTGTAACTTAGTCTTGCATTTAAAACCCTTAGTGAAAATAAAACATACAACTCACTGCGATCAAGCATATAAATATATATATATATATATATATATATATCTCCTTTCTAAAAATAGGCAACAAGTCAGGAAGGGATTCAGCCATATCCTACAAAAGGCTGGACATATTCCACACCTTTTTTTCCTGCATTTTTTTTTCCTTCTTAACGTAAAAGAGCAGAACACAACTTATAACACAATATAACATAACATTTCTTTAATAAACACAGTTGGGTTTATTTTTGGTACAGTGTGTACCCCATACAATAATATTATGGGGAAGGGCATTAAGGATACTGTGCTTGCACTGAATGCAAAATATTTAATCTTTAGGTACAAACATAATACATAGCAGAGGTTTAGGCTGGGATTCAAACAATTATTGAGTTTTTATCTTTTACCTCCTGTATATCCTGGCTTTTTGGCATAGATTTCAGCCACATCTGAACCAAAAATGCAGACAAAAAAGTGGTTAAAACTGAAGAACTCCAGTATAAATCTCATTTTGCCTTTTCCTAAAGTTTCCCTTCTGTTTCCTAGAAACTAAAAAGCATCTTGATATAAAGTTCTGGCTTTGGTGAATCATAAATCCCTGTAAAAGGAATTCAGAATTCACTCCAAAATGATGACATATTCATAGCTCTGCAAATTGCAGTTGTTATTATTTGGGTAGGCAGGGGACAAAAATCAAGCAGTAATTCTATCTTAAGCCAAAGTGCTAACATATCATTCAGCAGTTGTGGAAAGCAGGTGAATAAAGTGTAACTGTAATTTATTGCTTGTTATGATACATACTACAGTAATGCCTAATTGTATATTTATACTTTAACATGGACTATACCTGGTAACTGTCATGTTAGGCAGCAAAACATCAAATCTGATGTATATAAAGATAACATCAGAACATACATATGTGGTTAAATGGAAGAAAGTACTGTTTTACGTTTGAGAAACTTTGTTTTCTTTAAACTCTATATAAAGGAAATACATTTCACACACCTTTGAAATGTTGCTTGATCGACTTGTGGAACGCCCTGGGGATTTGTCATTCTGGAAAACAAAATTAAAAGGTGAAGAAAGTTATGTCACTCAAATTCTTCCTAAGGAGATTTACTCTTTCTGTGATTGTGAGTGCACACAGTTTCTCTTCCTCTATTTTTCTTCAGTATGGCTACTGACTGGACAATGGAAGACAGCTCAACAAATAAACCATTACAAGATTCATGCAAATTACACCAGTAAATGTTGAAAAAAAAAAATCTGTAGAATGCTAGCACTTAATTGATGATGGTTTATTTTGCAGGGTTTTTTAACAACATTTTGAGTGAAAGATTAATGTATCATCACAGCTTCTCATGAAACCTGGGGACTCTTGTATGAAGAGGAATGTTTCATGACAAATAATAAAACCCACCTAGTTACACTGGACACAACCCTGATTAGAAAGTTGAATTCCTCCTTTCAGGAAAGTTAAAATGGAACTAGATGAATTCCTGGCCAGACATGTTCTGAGAACAACAAACTGTAACCAGTCATAGATGTTGTCCAATTTAACACCTACCCCCACATCCCTTCTCACTCATGCAGAACCATACAAACCAACACCATCGGCTGAAATCCTATGTAAATAAGTATATGTTGAACAGCTACATTTCTGTAGCAGAATTTATTTTTTTTTTGGTAAACCAAAGTAAAGCAGTTGTTCAATAATTTGTTCACTATTTATACTTCTCCAGGTAGAGATTCAGCTTCACTTACACTGAAAAGGTAAAAGATATTTCAGTAACAATGCTCATCCCCTTGGTAAATGCACACATCTTAATGAGATAACGGAAATGTTTTTCTCGACACTGAGAATATAGATTCAAACACTCAGGTGAAATAGTCATATAAACAAGATTGATTTTTACCTAGGAGGGATTGAATAGATACCTTTTGTGCAAGTTTGTTAGACAAGTTATGTGGGGGAACAGAGGGCAAACCCCAAAGTAGACCTTCTACTTGTGCAGCTGAATTTGCAGTGCATGCATACAAGTCTATTGAAGACTTTCAACTTGACTATGACCCACCCCTCCTCATCTTTCATTTAAAAAACTACAAAAAAATACAGAAGCTAAAATCTCCTGCTCCATTACTGTGCATATCTAATCTAGAAATTAGTATTTCCACAGTAATTTGTAGAACATGACAGTTTTGCAATGGCAAAAATGACAGGGGAAAAAAAACAGAAACGCCAAAAAACAAGCCTTAGGCAATTTGTCAGCAAATATTTAGGAAAAAAACAGTCATTTTTATCTCTAAAAAACTGCTTTAATGTCAATCCCAGTAAGCACACCCATATGAAAAATATTTTCAAAACTACTTGTTGTTGCACACACTATTGTATCTCTCATCCTTCAGACTTCAGGTAGTTTATTTTTTTGTTCCATCCCTAAGCACCATCATTTTTTTGCACTGAAAATATTAACATACTGAACTATCTCTCTTTTTACTTTGCCTTCACTAGCACTAAGACACGCAACAGACTCTTGCCCTCAAAAAAACCCAGCACTGCTGAACTCCCTGACCGTACATCACTCTCCTTTTGTTTCTACCATACTGGGTAGTTCTCAGGACTTAATGACCTTTAGGTTTCTGTCAGAGTTTCTTCTTTTTTTAGGAAGAATTATAAAACCACAAAAATAATTCTTCAGATTATAAATTTATTACATCATGTCCTTGAGGTTGGCCCCACACTGAACAGAGAAGTGAACCTAATGATTCCTTATCACCTGATGCGTTCTATGCTTTGAAAATTACTTCTGTGCTATATTAACTACTGTAGCTTTGGTAATAAATTAATAATTGCTTATCCTTTCTAGACAACATTAAATATATAAAGTTTCAAATGTCTTCCTTTATATCTACAGAAAATACACTTCGGATATACTGGGTCAGCATTCAGAGCAGCTCTGCTTTGACCTCAAAATAATAGAAGTTATGGACCCATGAAATTAATTCCCCTTTTGTGGTTAGAAATTATGAACAGGGATCATAGCTGAGAAACTCCCTGCTAAAACCATGGAATCTTTATGCTCCATCACTTGGACTAAAGAAATGTTTTGTATTTTCTGACAGTGTAGTGAACTCTGGAACTGTAACTTACTTTAACAAGCTGCCATTCGAGATTAATTTTCAAAATCTGTTTCCTGACTACAGCTCTTTAGGCTTTTTACATGATCCATTCTTCACTATGGCACATATCTCCTTCACTTTAGTTACCACACGCTCCTGACTTTCTGACTCCCAGTACCCACACTCTGCAAAGTACCAGCTCATACACTGAATGGTCTACATGGACCTGGCTGGCTCCACAGCTTTTGGAAAAATAAATAAATAATTTTAATCATTATTTCCAAGTTCAGGGATCTTGTAGTGATTTAGTCTAAAGAGCATATAAATAAACCACAAAATGTTGCCCTATTACCATACATGAATTGAAGCTAGAATTCTTCATTCAAGTTCACATTGAACTTGCATGACTGTTCATGCAAAGAAAGAACATAATAGAAAAGTTATGGCAAAATCTCTCATGAGTGTGTCTTTAAAGAATGTCTGTGAGCTTCTGTTTTAATGGTTTATGTTTACAAAATACTCACATCATTAAGAACAATTGATTCCTTTTCTTACTGTAAGTGAAGAGGAACTATATTGAAGAATGATTTTTCCTACAAGTTTGCTAAACACTAACAAGAAATGTAAGTTTAAACATCTATACATATTTTTGTGCATTAGGAAAATGTCTTAGCACGTCCTTCCAATCAGATTATTTCAAATAAAATTGATTTGCACCCTTTAGAATTAACAGTTCTCAGAAGGAATTATTTAATGTCTACAGTGTTTTGGTTCTTGATTTCCCTGTGTTTTCTGAGTTTACACACACAGAGTTCTGGCCCTTTAGCTAATATGCAGAGATCCCTCTTGCTAAAATTCTCAATCTCTTTTTCCCTCCTGTCAACAAAATAACAGAACAACTGCTTCCAAGACTTCTCCTGGCCATGATAGATACGCGTCAGGTTGCACGGTGTATTATGCAGTCCAGACTGAAATGCCTCTCCTTATTCACAGACATCCTGTATCACCAACTTGTCATCTCTCCTATGTTGTGTTTCATCATGCAATCACTCATCAGGTATCTTTTCAAAACTCTGATAGCACACAGTTCCTTTAACTATTACACTGTAATATCAAGAAAAATCAGTCTGTGTTGGTAGATTTCCTGAGAATTCAGTTTCACCAAGGTCATTTACAAGAATATAATTGAAGATGTAATTCAGTCTTCAATATGAATTCTGTGAGGAAGACAGAAGAGAAATAATGCCATGAAATTTCAGATTATAACATATTAATGAAACTGCTTTGAGAAGAATGTTACATGTACCTGTCAGACCACATCCTACCAAGAAAACAACTGTGTAATGTAATAGGTAGCAATAAGAAATTAATAAATACTGCAGTGAACTGTTCAGTCTCTCATTCTAAAGAGCAAACTGGTAGATCAGCTGCTTGCCTTCTGACTCTCACTAAATATTTATCCACACCGTTAACGATTTTAATTTGTGTTGGATAGCATAGTGCATTTTAAACAAACTAATCCATTTGTCTGGTTTCTTCCCTTTAGCTGTCCCTTGCTTTCCTCTGACCCTGAGCATCACTTGGGCTGACCCAGCAGCTTGCTAGCAGATTCCACTCCATCTTTCTGAAGAGACCACGGTAGCATCAAGAACTAATCACAGTATCTCAGCTCACAAGAGAATCTTAAGCAACAACTTGTCACACATGTACATTCTACACACTCCCCACCACCAAAAAAAAAAAACCCAACAGAACTTTGCACAAAATAATTCACCTCTGTTTTCTTTCCATGAGCAAAAACCTCTGCATTCCACTGGTACAACTTGCTGCTTCACACATCTGCACACAGTCCTCAACATTAGGATTCCATAAATGATTGGAAAAACAGATTTTCCTCTAGAAGTCATATAGCAATATATCACAAAAATAAATGTCTCCTAAATATAAGCACAACACAAGCCAAACAAATGTGGTTTTGTCCGCCTGAAGTCCCTTTCCATCTAGTACCCTGTCACAGCACTGACACAGGAGTCTCCTTTTAGCACCTTTTCACTCCTGGAGTTTAAATAGGAGCAGAAATTGCTTTAACTTTACATCTTGAGCTATCAGATATGTAGATGAGCTCAACTAGCAACATCAGTCACTGGAAATCTAAAGAGCAGGAGTCAACATCATTAAAACTGATGTGTGGACTCAGTATACTTATTTCAATACCTTAACATCAAAATGAAAAGACAAAACCACAAAACTGACAACATTTGCTTTAATTGATAAACTAAAATTCCAACACCCATAATTAACTAATACATAAACACACTGTTTACTGGGCATCAGGTGCAGTTTTACTATGGAACCTTGAATGTTTTCAAGACCAAAGAACAGCTGAGTTCAAAGCACACACTCACAGAACAAAAGTCCACTGGGAACATTAAAGACTGTGATGCAGAAGCAATCCTTTATTAAAAAAATGACAAAATGTAAATAACAGCTATTAATAAAAATTATATAAAATACAGCCAATATATATACATAGCATAATAGGAGAAAGAAGCTCATCATTAATTGACAGGCACCTTCTTTTATTCATGGAAGTATTTTCTGAGCTGTTACACATTTTATTTATTTTTTCATACTCCCAAATATTCGTGTATAACGCCTCTTACAAATGAATCATACCTCTAAATCACCAAATATAAAATTACTGGTAGGTAAGTCTCCCTTCTTTCTAAAGAAGAAACTTGTCATTTGAATAAATTTTAACTTCACTAATAAGTTCAACATTCATGTCAAATCCCCCACAAGGTCACTAGGCAAAAAGCCTCTGGACAAGATAAATCTAAACAGACCTTTTCTCTGTTGTAGAGTACAGCTGTGCAAACCCAGGTGATTGCGACAAACAGCTTCTGAGGATGCTGAAGCATTTCAAACATGCCATT